TGATTTTAATAATGACGTTTGTGTAGTGATATAATGTTAACTTAAAGAACGTCAGTGGAACAAAATACTGCAGGAATTTAAGTTCACTAAAACAACAGAGTTCATCTGTGAGTTGGGTTTAATTCATGAGCTGGATTATAATATTTATGTTTTCATTAGCGGGTCGCCTTCTGTGGAGTCCGCCATGTTTCTACTGGAGCCCAGAAGGGACAAACCATCGACGTATAATAATAATTTTATTTGTAAAGCACTTTTCAAGCTTAAGCAATAAGTGCTTTCCAGATTAAAACATATACAGATCAGACACCCAGGAGCGACCCTCCGTACCACCCCGTATATTAATACAAACATACAAAAGACTCCTGATACTAAAACAATGAAACAATTAAAATACATTACAGGATGACACAAAACACCAAAGAATAATGAAAGGTAAAACATTATTATTCGGCTCCTGTAAAGCTGCCACACAGGGTCACCTTTGGTCTTCTGATCAGCTGATCTGAAGGTGAAATATAAAATATCTCTGATGCAGCCGCCGTCATCTGTCACCATTCGGGTCCAGAGTCTGCGCAGTAGCGACCCGGGTTGGCGCCGCTGTATCGAGGTCCCGCCCGTACAGAATCATGATACAAATATTCTGATACGAGTTTATTATTTTAGTTTCTTCTGCAGGTTAATTTCTGTCGATATAAAGTCAGAAAATGGACAAAACAAACTGATGAAAAGTACAAACATGAACAAACCTTTCTTTTTTTAATAACAGACAAACATAAAAATCTGTCAGTGACGACAAAATACGAAAACAAGTGAAGGAAGTGATTTTATTGTTGCGGTTGAAAATTCGTCACACATGCAAACAGCGATGTCGAAGCCGTGTATCATCAATATTTTATTAGCAAACCAGAGAGAAGTTAACAAAAAAGAACTGAAGGAACTGAACAATCTGTGTTTCTGTAGTTTCTGTACAGGTCCAAATATACTACAATATATACTATTATACAACTGGATTACAATTCATGTCATTAGTACAGCAGTCACAAAGAAAAACTTCAAGTCCGTAACAGCAGTGTTTTGATTCGTCCGAGCGACCGAACGACTCACTGATGATGATTCACGTGAAGCTAATATGAGCATGCTACGCTAACGTTCCCTCTTTTCCCTCCAACAAAGTGCTGAATCTTTTACATTTGTTCACCTCAACGGCAAAATAAACCTCAGAGAACCGGAAAAAAACGAAGACACTGTGATTCACATTTTGAGACTGAGATTTGTTTTCGCCAAAAAAAACACAAAAGTCAAAACAAAAGCTACGTTCACACTGCGAGCCGTAGCGCTCAGATCTGAAATGTGGATCTTTGATATCGTGTCCGGAACTATAATTACAGAAAAATGATGAGTAAACTCCAGCTTTATTTCAAAGAAGTGATAACCGAGTGTACTTTATCCCCACTTTATTCTCAAGATAACCAAGTTACCAAAACGTCATCAAAACAGGCCGTAGTGAAGTAATAAAGCCCGCCTCGTGCTTGATTTGATTGTGTGACGGTTCGACTCCACGGGCTGAAAAGTTGACAGTTTTTTAACTTTTATACGCGTCTAAAAACTTAAACGCGACGTGAGAAGAGCGAACGCCAGACGAGACGAGATGATCGGCCTTTAAGACGTCAAGTAAACGTGGACGCCACTGAAGGCAACGTGTTCAGTTTCATTTATAAGTTGATGTGCAGTGGAAGCGAGAGTGACTCTAGAGCAGTGGTTCTCAAACTATGGTCCGCGACCCTCTAGTCGTTCATGGAGGAATTTCTGAAATATTTTTATAAAATGGAATAAAATAATTTAAAAAGCACTGCAACATTTCAAATAAGTTTTGCATTTTGTTTAATATTTAGATTCAATATCAGTCTGCTACGCAGCGCACGCACACATCCGTGATTAGTTAGGAGCTAAAATGTGACGCTTAGATACAGGGCGGAGGTCAGATGAATGCTTCAAAAACACGACGTGGCTCCAAACGGGACAGGTGGACCCATTTTACACAAAATCAGCTCTGGTTCTTGAACCGGTTCTGTTCAGGAGTTAACAAGAGTCAACAATAAATAATCTTGTGATGAATAAATCTGCCTCCTGTGAGATAAAGTCGATGCTGTATTTTAACCTCGGTCATAACGGTGGTAATACTTCCTGAGGGTGAACGTGGTTTGAGAAACTCTGTAGTCTCGTGAATGAAGAAGTCTCAAACTGGAAACTGGAAAAGAGCAGAGTCGATGTGATTTGTGTTGTTTACACTGAAAATCAGATCAGATTTGGGCCCTTGTGTCTGCAGTGTGAACGTAGAGATTTTTAAGGTCATTTAAAGTTCAAATAAATGGAGTTTGAGGTAAAAGGAACACAGTTCAAAGTAAAACAATAAAGAACCTCAATGTCAAACTAATTAAATTTACAAAATGAGCAGATTTTAAGGCCTGACGATCAGTTCCTCCAGCAGGTGTGGAAAAACTGTTGGCAACAAAAGTGTAAACTGACCTTTAACCATTTTAAAGGAGCAGTTCAACATTTTGGGAAATATTTGTGATTGACACCACAAATACGAGGCTACTGCTAGCAGCTGGCTCACTTAGCTTAGCATAAAATCTTAGGATCAGCATGAAAGAACAAAAACAAGTGTACGAGCCAGGCTAGCCGTTTCCTTCTGGCCTCTGTGGTAACCTGAGAGTATTGAACCCTCAGCTCGAAGGAGAATAAGCATGTTTTCCAAAATGCCGAACTGTTCCTTTTACAGTTCCTGAAGCCTGCGGTTCGAATAAAACTCGATCCAAAGCTAAAAAGGGGGTCGCTGTAATGACACAAGCCACAAAGGATGCTGGGAAAACAGTCGCAGAGAGTCTTTATGAGGGAAACACTTTCTGAACTCACAAAACTTCAGAATTCAGACTATTTTTAAACTTCAAACTTTATTTCCCACACGTGGCTCTAATCCTCGTCCATATATTTATAGATTTAGGTTTTTGTGTTGTTGTTTTCTTTTTGGAAGTTCGGTGAGATTTTCTTTTGCATAGGACAGCAGCTTTTTACCAAATATCAGCTCCACGTACGTTTCAGTGAACCTGGTTCATCTTTGGCCACATTCTGCTTTTAAATGGGAAGTTTCAACCAATGACGGTAAAGATCACATTACACAAAAATAAAATAAAAACCTCATGAAGCTTTCAGCCGTTTTCAACAGAGCAATCACTCACTCATCACTCTCTCATCACTCTCTCTTTCCACTGGCCGACTTTAACTGCTTTCAGCAACATTTACAGTAAACGTCACTTTGAAAGAAAAGGAAAATAAATGATGAGTTTTCTTTGACTAAAGAAACTCTTTAGCATTTTAGTAACGTGATCCACTAATGTGTGTGTTTTTGGTTTTTTTTGTTTTTTAGATGTGAAGCACCTCATTCATCCGCTCTGTAACTCACTTTAAGAGATCCTCCACAAGAGGCAGCTGTTTACTCACAGCTGGAGTCACTTTTAAACCTTCAGCTTTCATTGTTTCCACACAAAAAAAGATGTTTTCTTCCAGTTTCTAAAAGTTCTGGAGGTTTCTCTCCAAATTATAACATCAATCTGAGAAGAGAAACTTCTGTAGGTATTCCACCTCTACAGCTCCACCGCTGCTTTCAAAGTGCTCCTCTGGGAAAGATCATTTTATTTTGTTCAGCTGTTTAAATTCAAACGTCCATTTCAGTACATTTTATATTTCTTTGTGGTGTTTCGGGTTTTCAGATGGACTTTCAGAAAGAAACGCAGGTGGATCAGAGGCTGTAGAAGAGCTTTGTGCCGACTGCAGGTAACGAGTGTTACAGACACACTTCTGAAGATTTTTATAAATGAACATTTGATTTATTTCCCTCTAAATGTGAGTTAAGTTCAACACTTTCTAGTGTAAAATGTAAAAGACAGAAGTACTGACATTTTAACAACCACTGAATTCAGAGCACTGAAATATTTTACTTTGTTTTGAATTCATCACAAATTTTCAAAAGCTAAATTTAAATATATATTTTTCAGTGTTCACAAATTAAGATCCAATCAGAGCTCGGCCTGTCGGTCACGTGACCAAGAAACCTGTTGAACTGAAACTTGTTGTTGTTTAAATAAAACAAACTAAACTCATCGAAAGTTTCAGTTGGACTCATCGAAATTTAAATTTTCGTTCTAATTTTTAACGATCGAATCTGAAACTTTTTTTTCTTCTTGAAATTCAGAAAATGTCAAAGAGGAGAATTCAGAACAAACACTACAGATGGTTTTCAAAGTATAAATTCAGGAGTGTTTAAATGTTAGTGCTTATGTCTTCTATTTGCTTCCACATCAAACTACAGTGATTATTTCTGTGCACCAGTTAACAACTTCTCAAGGTTTAATATCCTTTAGTTATCATTAGATTATATGTGGTTATAAAGGAGTTGTGTAAACCTCAAACAGCCGACAGATACGTGATGTATCAGAGGTTAATAATGTCGAGGCTTAAACCTCGAACAAACACTCTGTACCTGCAGGCGGCAGCTGTTCTGGAGCTCGATCAGGTGCTTCACATCAGCGTTTCAGAAAACAGGAGCATTAAATGTAAGTGGTGACTGTCGGCTTGGGGGGGGGGGGGGGGCTGCAGTCAAGCAAACGCAGTGTTCTCCCGTCCTCAGACAGGCGGGCGGACGGGCAGATTGTGGCGATGAAGGCGCTGATGCGTACAGAAGCCGGTGCACTTTGATGGAAGCATGTTGGCGAGCAGCAGCTGTCCTCCTGGTGGCGGGTTAAGACTCAGAGGATTCTTCTATCTACAGGAATGCAGCTCGCACGTGAACCCGAGCTGGTGTTTATCGCCCGCGGACATCAGTGCGTTTACAGCGAGAGGGTTGGACGTCTGCAGGTGGGACTCGCAGGGACGAAAGGTACAAACCCTGTCAGCGACTCTGCGATGTATTGCAAGACGGTCGTGTACGATACATCATCAACGGAGGAGAAAAATCCTAAAAGAGGCAAAATAATTCTCTCAAAAAGCAGGAATCCATCAGGTGTTTATTACTTACTGCATTGAGAAGTGGACAGCTGAGAAGAGAGAGTGCATAGAGTTCAAACACACGGTAACGCCGCTGTGATATCGATGATGTATCGCAGAGAGCGTGTCACAATATATCGCCTTACGGCTCGTCGTCCCACCCCGAGTCTGCGGCGAGGCGAGGCCGGTCGGCTCGCTCTTTAGTCATGCAGTAAAGACAACGAAACACGATGAAGACCAAAGCTTTAGGATCCGACCTGAGGCGTTCTGACCCAGAGGTGCCGGCGAGGCGAGGCGGGGGGGCGCTGAGGGGTCAGGAGTGATCAGGAGTGATCCATGGGTTCGATGGCGTTGCTCTGCTCGGCGTCCTGACTCTCCATCTCCTCCAGTTCCTCCGCCTTCCCGTCCGGTTTGCCGACCGCCGCCGCCGCCGCCGCAGC